TCCAGCTCACTTGTCGTGCTCGTCACTTGACCATAGTTCATAATAACGAAGTCCGTCGCCAAAAGCCCTCGTGTTGCTATGAACAGTGTGACGTTAATATTCACTCAACCAAAGTTCATTTTTAGATCGTTACATTATCCCTGTGAATAGACGGAAACAGAACGTTTCCTAAATGTTGTGTGTGTGGTTTTAATAATGGAATATTCAAAAAATTCAATCCAGTCTATTCCAGCTCATTCTAGTTCATTAACTCATTTGAGTTCTTGAATATTCAAACTCCAAGCATCTTAGATGACCTTCTCCAGGCATTCTCTTTACGGATCCGGTTTCTATAAATTTCTTGAAGAGTTGAGTTGTATTAAAGTTTCTAGATTCTACAATTTAAACTGCCCTGTCTCATGTCTCCTGAAGATTCACCTCATTTCCAAACATTCAGTTAATCATTTTAATGCTTGCTTTCGAATTTTTACGAATGTTGGGAAAAAACACACCACGAAAGCCTTCTAAGTAAGTCAAAGAATGAAGAGCTAAAGTCGGCCTATAGGTTTACATAACATTTTCCTCTAAACGCATAGCTTACACTCAAGTGCATGGTCACTGTATAATGTTTTTTTTAATGGGGCTGTGCATTGATATTTGTAACCTTTGCAGACCTAGTACATTCCCCAGGAGCTGGTATCAGCGCGGCACCATATAGGCGATACCAATTACCGCAAGTAATTTTGACGCCCAGTTCCGTCCTCAGAGGGAGGCACCTGAGTTCTGACGATGCGAATGTGCACTATGATTTTTTTTAAAAATTTTGCCGAGATCACCCAAGTCAAACGGAAACTCTAGGGATCTTTTACATGCCGTATAATCATCCGATATGTGGCCGCTGTCGATTTTCTGCATCATGAAAATCCACTGACTTGGGCCGGGGTCGAACTCGCAACCTTAAGTGCTGAAGGCCAGCGACAAACCAACTACACCACCTAGCCGGCAAAAAGAGATGCCAACGGCACGCGTTATTCACAGGTAGTCACCCTCCCGAGTACTGACCACTCCCGATGATGCTTAACTTCAGTGATCGGACGAGAACCGGTGTTTTCAGCATGGCATGGCCATTGGCGTACTGTTGGCTGTTATGTAATGTAATAAACACTAAACATTTTCAACCTTGTTTAAAAGAATTATTTTATTTGCGTTTCGTACTTCTCGAGAGATTTATCTAATTATGCAAATTCGGTACTTTTCCGTTTCGCTGGCGCAAATCTCGCCAAGCAAGCTTTATTGGCGATAACATGCAATATACACATAAAAAATGCTATACATGTTAGTTCTCATTGGTTTTCATCTATTTTTGATATATAATGAAAAAGACGTTACAGATAAGAAAAGACCGCGCCTAGTTTTGAAAATGTGGTGACGTTGGTTGTATTATTTTTGGCGAAAATGTCGCTTACACCAGCGAAATGGAAAAGTACCGCAAGTTCTTTTAATTTTAGAAATCGATGTATGAGATAAAGAGATAGACGTGTTGTCCGCGTACAGAAAAAAGGAAAAAAATCCCAACACCAAGAAAAATTTGGACAATACAATTATCTATTTAACATATTTAATTGATTGAGTTTTCAAGATCACAGATGTTAATTTAAGCTCAAGAAGATGTATTCAAATGGGAAATGCTATTACATGGTTACAGTACTATAGGTTGAATTACCGAACTGTCGTGCAACTGTGCAGTCAGTGTGCTTAGGATAACCACGAGAGTGCTCCTGCTGCCATAGGAAACTGCTCCCCAGACCATGAATCTAGGTGTAGGTCCAGTGTGTCTAAATCGAAGACAATTTGATTGCAGGCGTTCTCCTGGCCTCCTTCTGACCAACACACGGCCATCAATGGCACCAAGGCAGAACCTGCTTTCATCAGAAAACACAACAGATCTCCACTCCGTCCTCGAATGAACTCTGGTTTGACACCACTGGCGTCACAAACGGCAATGGCTTGGAGTCAGTGGAATACACGTTACATGCCGCCTGACTCGGAGCTGTCATTGAAGTAAACGATTTCTAACTGTTCGTTGTATCACTGTGGTACCAACTGCAGCTCGAATTTCTGCCACAGACGCAGTACGATGCGTCACAGCCAGTGGCGCAGACAAGGGGGTGTCCTAGGGGTCCGGACAACCCCCATAGCCCTTGATTTGTTTTTGATTGGTTATAATCTTATGTAAATATTACGTAAAATTTAATTATGTATTTGTTATTAACAATTAATTTATATTTTAATTAATGCTAATTATTTATTTAATAATTAATTTTGTATTGTTTTTGTTCCCGAAAATCGAACAAAATCAAAAGAATATGTTGGGCGGCGTATTGGAGTATGATAACAAAATGGTGGACTT